ATATGTAGCCCCACGAACGCTAGCCTAAGCCCCACAACTGATAAGCACGCGGAGAAGGGCTTTATAAGCCGAAGAGGAAATGCTCTTGTGGGATCAGAGAGTAACATAAATTTTATAATTTACAGGGCAATACAAAGTTTAAGGTTCAAATGTAATTATTTCAATTGGCTATAGAATTTTAAAAAATGTGTATAAATATTGGAAGAAAATATTTACTGTCAGTGTTAATTTGTTTAAATAATTTTGATTTAATTTACATGTAAATTATTTATAAAAATTATATTAATCCCAGTATGTAAACCTTCTTCTTAAAATCGAAATGTCGTGTTTTTTGGATAGAGTATAAAAAGCGAACTCCAACCAAATCAGCGAGCACCTCTTAGCCCAGATTCTTATGGCTGTGTGGGTGAGACAAAAGCGAAATTCTGATAAAAACTTTTAGTTCGGAAACTATACGAATACACCATATACCCTTAAAAGAACACTTTTAAACAAAATCAAGTTGGAGATATCAATTATTATCATCATTCATTATTATCACAACCTATTTAACTGAAATAAAATAAAACGGGGTAATAGAAGTTTTAGTTATTAAAACGCTTTGGAACTTAAAATGCAGATTGTTAAACATTTAAAAATATCAACACACAATCTTTCAACAAATACATTTCACTAAATGGCCCTATAACCATCATCGAAATACCCTCGGCGAAGATAGGAAACAAATGTAGAAAGCGGCTTGCAGACAGGCAAACTGTGAAAGGAGCTTAAGGATTTAAGGCGGAACACGGAATGGAAACGCACGGAGTCCGGAAAAGTCGGGTGAAAATGAGGAGCAACGGAGGCGCACCAAAATTACGGTGTGAGTAATTAAGACGCAAGTGCGTAGAAGTTGCCCGCATGAAAATGACGCAAACGCTCAGCGTCAAACGAGACGCTGGGGGGAACCCCCCGAAAGGAAGCAGAAGAAATGGCTTCAATTAATTGACTTAGACAAAAAATTTAGGAGAGAGAAAAATTGTTGCTGCTGGTAAACATTTAAAAAATAAAACAAAACATTTTGCATACTTTTAGGCATCACTGGGAAAAAGCCGTTTAAATTTAAATAATCATATAATTCTGGTTAAGCAAGCAAAAGAAGACTTAAATCCAATCAAAATGTCTTAAACAGTGTATCTTGTGTTGATACTTAGCCTCACTTTAATTCTTGCGAATCTGTGAGTCAACAAAATGCAAATCACATTTCGCAACAACAGATGGCCCGTCTGTTTTGCAATGGAAAGCAAGTCAATTAAAATTGACAATCTATGGGTATAAAATTTCCAATTGGCCAGGGCGGCACGTCCCAGACATAAAACAAAATTACAAAGCCCACAAAACGAGGATGGCGCACACACACACATGGACAATAAACAAAGTGCAATTAGTTGATATACGAGATACCAAAAGGGTGTATATGACACACACATATACCTTCATAGGTGGCACATACAGGTCAAAGTTTATTGCCTGTAGTCTCCCGGTAGCTGCAAAATGCAACTCATATTTTACCAAGGCCAAAAATGTCTCGCTGGCTGCACATAAAGCATTTTACTTGGTAAAACCCAAACTGACACTGATGCTGACACTTCCACACAACTCATCTGTCTCCCCTTATTCCCTTTGCCCCACCATTGTGCATATAATTTGTCACTTGCATGGTCTTTATACACCGAAAACACGGTCAGCAGACACAGTCCACTAGAGAACACTAGACACGAACAAGAAATTCGAAGCAGTTTAGGAAGCAATTATCTTATAAACACTAATATTTATTATTTTACAAAAAAAAAATTGAAATCTATATTTTAATATAAATAAAATGGCAATATAATGCCTAGAGGATTCATATAACAGCCTAATACAAATTTAAATATTTCTTAATCTTTGTTGAGCAAATAAAACTGTGAAAATATAATTTATGAATTAATCGTTTGAAATTTATAAGAATAAATACTTTTAATAAATTGGTTTGGAGAAGATGCACCCTTTAAAAATCTATCGATTTTAAATGTACATTACAAATGAAATAAAAGTGAATTGAAATTAAGGTAACCCTTCGAATAAATCCTATTTTTTTTTGGTGTAAAGACACAATAAAGGAAAATGAGGGAAGGGGCTGCCGGACAGGTCATCCTTTTGAATAAAACACAGCAAGTATGACTGTCATCCTGCAGAAGCTGTCGTTTATCACGCATGTACATATACTTTCCGCACGTACACACACCTTTGGAGCTCACTGTGCAACTGCATATATGTAGGTTGACTCTGTATAAATGTCAAAGAAGTTGTGTCATTTCACGAGCCACTGTGTTTGCTTGTTTGATATAGAGGATTTACGTTCAATTGGGCATATTTGATTAAGGAATTAAACTTAAACCAATTCAATGAATAAAAAGGAAATATTGATAAGGTAGGAAGTATATTAAAAATCTTAATTTTCAGGAATTATTTTAGATAATATTGGTAGTTTTGGGATATTTTTTAATTTAACCAACCCCATGGATAATATAAATGGTTATTGCTTTTACTTTAACTGATTTATTATTTTATTCTCCATAAGCATTTATTGCACTAAAGCTAACTCTAACACTATTACTTTTTAATAAATTCTTGAAACCATCCTTTCCGAATCTATAAATATTCGTGAAATACCCATAAATTCCTTTCCATCATCCCCATTGTTCGAAAATTCAACTTTTCTCATCTGCCATAAATAATAAGAGGGAAACGTGTCATTCTAAACATGCCTTATGCTTTCACCTGCCGACTCCATAAAACAAAACGCATTCATGGTTTGTTTCTGTTTCTGTGCACACTGACAAGTGTTAAAATAACATTTGTACTGCATTTTAAATGGCATTTTCAGAAAAGAATTTCCTACCGGCAATGTGTTGCTTTTTTTGGGTAATTCCTTTTTTATTTCTACTGTGCAGGAACGCTGAAACCAAACAATCAACAAACGAATTTCCTGGTTGTCCGGCCATTTGCTTGTTTTGGGTTGGAGTCAAAATGCTACATTTAGCCGAGGAAAACATCAAACATGTTAAATAAATGTTCGCTTTGGGCAGATAGCTGTCGACCCTGATTTTTCGACGCTTCTATTTTTAGGCACCCAAAAGCGGAAATCAAATAGACTTTTAACATACTTACAAAAGCCATTTTTGCATACACACATACTTATAAAAGGTTGGGGCAAAAATTGTAGCACACTTTTTAACGCTGCCCACGAAAAAAAATTCGGGGATTATTAAAAATTAAAATTGTAATGCAATTGTAAACTAGCACATTAATTTTTAACTTTTACGGGCATTTTTTACAACGATAAAAATGACTTCTTAGCTTTTTCTTTTAATTTAATAATTTAAAAAGCTTAAGGCCACAGAAGCTATAGCTACTATTAAACACCGAGGTTATAGGCAATTTATAATTTAATAATTTATATTTTAAGTAATTCAATGTTATGTATATAATTAGCTTGGACATATTTTACCTTTTTTATTTAATTAAATTAGTATCCAAACTTTTTTTTCTATTAGCAACTAAAAACTTGCAGTTTAAATACTGGCTTAAAATATTTTATGAAAGTTATGTTTTTTGTTCAAGTTTTTTAATTGAATATTTTCTGTTCTTTCATATTTCTTAACTGTTTTTTATCGACGACCAATAAAACGCTTCAATGCCTGCCATATGGCCATCTCTGACACTTTTTGATTAAATTACCATTGACTGTCAATAACAGGGATAAACAAAAGCGCTGCATTTTCCCAACTGTCCTTTGCATCCTTGCAACTGCCATATTTTTGTTGAGCTTCCAAAGTAATAATATTATTTTAACTTTATTTAAAGCTTTTTCGTTCAGCTTTTCCATCACTTAAACCAGAGATGACGACGATGATGCATGAAGCATTGACATCTTGGCTTGTCAGTTGATTTTGACAGATGTTAAAGCCTTAATTGCCACTATAAACATGATTGATATCGAAAACTTTGTCCTTTTGTGTTTTGTATATAAACATCTTTCTTTGTTTTTTTTCTTCTTTTGTTTGCTGTTTTTTGTGCACAACCGAGTTTAATTAAACCTCCATATGGTATATTTTCTGGGGGCGATTACCGAAGAGTTTGCGAGTGGGCGGTCAGGGATTCTATATTTAGCCCACGCTGATTAGGAACAGCAGTGTAGTGGCAACAGCGAAAAACGTCAGCACAAAAGGCGTCCCTGATGTAAATATCAGAAGCCAATATTGGACAGCACTGTGCGGGAAAGTTTGTTCAATTCTTTTGCCACTCCTGTTGTTATTGGTCGTGGATTATTGATAGATATGGCTAACTCCCCCTGTATATTGGCCAGCCTCTGTAAGGGCAATAGATAAACGCTTGACGTCGGCCAGTCGACGTAAATCTTGTTACCAACTGGATGACGATTTAAGCTTGGCCAAGGTTTCAGATTACATCTGGCATTAAAGGAAACTCAACACTTTCCCATCGGTGTTACATTTAATTTCATAGATGGGACATTTAAAATTATATTCAAATAAATAACACTTTAAGCTCTATTATTCTTTTAAAGTAAATAAAATATTTGACAAAAATTCGTCTTTAGTCTAAATACATTTATAAAATTTATTTTGGATATTTAACTCATATTTTATAGCACTCACAAAGACAAAGATTTCAATTTACAAATTAAATATTTAGGGTGTTCAATTCCGTTGCAAACTTTGTAAAGTGTAAATCAAATCCAACAACAATTTCTATACAGGGCCTAACAAGGCCTACTTTTGAAAACTATTTTGTATAGAAATTGTTGTTGGAATTGATTTACACTTTTACACTTTACAACGTTTGCAACGCAATTGAACACCCTAAATGTTTTTAAAAAAATATTTCTGAAAATATCATAGCAATCTGAGAATTTAGTGTGCCTAAAATCGAACTTCTATCTATCCAGTTTAATTTTGTGTTTCGCCCGTAGCTCCCACTTCCTCGTAGCTCCCAGTTCTTAGAATCGGTTTTAGTGATAGCACACATTAATACAGTATACATTAGTATCATTAAAAATCGAAAATATGCCCAACTTTAATGGGGCTATTATAGTACACACGCTTCAGTTGCTGAACGCGCCGGCGACACTGCGCGAAATCGTGGTGACCATAGCTAAAAATACCGAATTGCCGCAGGATGAGCTGAAAGTGCCTGTGAAACAAACCCTAGAGATGGGCCATCGTTTGGGATTCCTCCAGAAGTTGGATGGTGAGATATGTTAATAATATTATTGTCAATTTTTCTTAAAAGTTTTTCATTAAAAAGGTCGTTATTACATGGTAAATATGACCTTCGACACTCTTATTAATGAGATGCATGCCCTGGACAAGGAAGAGATCTTAGAGAAGCCTAAGATAGTTAAAAACAAAAAAAAGTTAATGCAGAAGAGTCCCTTAATATCGGGTATGGATAAAAAAGTCACTAGGAAGATTGTCAAGTCCTCGGAGCCAATTGGAAATCCAAAACCCGCTGAAAAATCTCGACTCCAGGGCACTTCCAGTTTATCCACCATCACAAAACAATCTTCATCTATGCTAGCGAAGTCCAAGCGTTTCAAGTAGCCCTATCACAAAAAAAGTATCTCCTAAAAACCAACAATCGCAGTAAACCCATATACCCAGATCTTTTGACAGAGGACCTCCTCTTTGTGCTTAAGGACAATGTGAAAAAAATTGTCTGCTCTGTTATATAAATATTTGGCAGTAATACGCAAAGTATAAAATTCTTTATAAAAGTCGCCGAAGTTGTTTCTTTACCCATACTTTTCAATATTTTCGAGTAAACAAATAAAGTTCGGCTAAAATAAATGTTTTTAATAATACTTTAAATTTAAGGAAATATTTTTACTAAATAAACAAGTAAAGAAAACAAATCTGATTAAATGAAGTTTTTTAAGAAGCTAATGCTAAAACTTTAATTAATATGCTCGTAAAGCCATTTCCAAAATTTTTAATAACTCCATTAGGAATAAATTGATTAAATTACCAAGATGCAATCGGGAATACACACCATTGCTTTGTGTCTCCTAATTCCCTTGGCCAATGAGAGGATGCCTTTGAGAAATGACTGCTCATTTGCGCAAGTTGACAAATGTCTCAATTAGCGGAAGACGAGTCCTCAAATGCAAGGGAGGTGAGGAATATATATATTCGGTTAAGTTGGGTGGCAATGAGACGCCCGCCGATGTCGCGACGCATCCTATTCAATTTGAAAAGCAAATGAAGCGTCGCCTCTGCCAAGTGGCAATTTGCTCTGTGCATTGAGTTGACCATATGGTTGGAGACCCACCAAAGGCGCCCCACGCAATGGCAACCAACCAGAGCCCTACGAATAGTCAGTTTCTGCCAACCTACGATGCCAGCACCCCTTAATTTTCCCAAAAAAGCTTTAATACACTCAACAAAATTAACCATATTAATCAAAAAAGTATATCCCAATTAAAAAAAAAAAAATGTTCTAAAAAAAGACTTAGTATCAAAAATTAAAACAAAATATGGTATTAAAACATTTATGGCCATATGACACTTGCCTATTTTCGAATAACTAAAAAAAATTACTTAAAAAAAAACAGTAACCCTAAAACTAAATGATTTGTTTATATATATTAATTAATAATAATTAAATTGTTTTCAAAACAATATTTTGAAAGTCATTAGTTTTATTCTAGGTGTAATAGTGGGTTTTGAACATAGTTTTTTCTCGCTGCTTTTCTTTGACCTTTGCGATGACGTCGGACCGGCGACGGTTACCTCAAAAAAGAGAGCAATGTAAACAGAGAAAGAGAAAGGCGGAGAAAGACCGACAGAGAGGCCCCGATTGAGAGAGAGGGACCGTGAAAAGCCTGGTGAATATACCGAGCATGGTGAGAAACGAACGAATTCTACACGAAGAGTGCAACAAATGTTTGGGAGACAACTTCGGGCCAACAAGGTAAATGTTGGGGCATACACGGTGGTTGAGTGGGTGAGCTCTCCTTTCGGTGGGTGGTTTTTAGCGGGTGGTTTTAGTGGGCGGCCGGGCGGGCTTAGTGGGAGGTGGCTTTTGGGGCACATGACGCGTGGGCAGCGACAAAAGCGAGTGAAGTTATGTCTTGCCCTTTTTTTCGGCATACTGGCATACATAGCACAGCGAATTATTTGTGTGTGCAGATGTGCAAATGTACAAAATGTGTGCCTCAATGTAGGTTTATAGCAGGGTGCATCGAAGTTGAAACTAAAATATTAAAAAATTATAAATCAAAAATCAAAGCAATACATTTCATTTCCCTGGTCCTTATAAACTAAATGCAATAAAATCCTTATAAACTAATAAAACATTTACAATATTTTGTTTGCATTACACCTGAAACTTAAATTAAAATAGTTTTTTATTTCGTTTCCTAATTTAAATTGAACACTTATTAAAAGGCTATAGAATACGAATCGTTATTAGGATTTTACATTGCAAGAAAGTACTAATAAATAAATAATTTCACTAAATTAAATAAAGAGCTTACAATTATATTTGGACTTTTTAATTAGGCAAATATATAAATTACAAATATAAATCTCTGAAGGCTTTTATTTTTTAAGTTCAAACTTATTGTTCCACCCTAGTATTGCAAGATCCCTTATGGGAGACTTGGTTCGAGATGAGCGCGTGGCCAGACAACGAAATGTCAAAGCAGCCTGCTTATTTTTTGTCCGTGCTTCGTTGTATCCCTAAATGTGTGTGCGATTTTTGGTTTAGCTTTTTGGCATATGGTCGCCTTGCTGGGAAAGTGGGAAACCGGTAAGAGGGGTGTTTTGCCCATGTTGTTGTTCGGTGGAAAAGCTGTTTCGCTTATTTCCCTCTTTTTACTCGAGGTTTTCTAGTTAAATATTTTGCAACACCGCATCGCATTTCCATGATTAGCAGATAAACATATGTTAAGTTGCCAACTTTGCGGAGGTGGGGTGGAGAAGGTTGCAGAGTCTCTGCGAAGTGGGTGATATATATGGGGCGCTGCGACTTTGATTGAGCTTTCAAGAGGACCAAGTTGAGCACAGAAATGTTTGTTTAGGATGCAACAGCTGTCGAGCTGAGTTGGAAAGTTGTTGGGAAAAGTGTGTCCCGAAAAATAGAGGCTTTTTAAAATATTTACTTTTCCAGCTAGAAAAGTAAACTATTTAAAAAAAAATAAATTAAAGATGAAAAATATTTGTAGAATAATAGTTCTCTATAGTCATGATTTATTCGCTCAAAACCGAAATGTTTAGAAAAGATTTTAAAATTTAGTTTCTTTAGTGATAAGAAAATAATGTTTGAAGAAAAAATAAAGGTGACAAAATCTGAATAATGAAAATAAAATTATTAAAAAACAATCACTCAATAGATTTCGCACTAATCACAATCCTTTTATCTTTTCACAACCATAGTCATTCCTTTTGCTAAGAACATTACGCCAGCCCTAAATTCAATTAACTTTAATGAACCAAATTATAATTGCAAATAAATTATCTCATTAAAATTTCGCACTTTGCCTTTTAGTAGCACAGAAAGTCTGGAATCGGCGTCAAGGCCAATTACAAAACTTTGTCCAAACATCTCACTACCAAAAAGGGCGAAACTGAGACTTGTGGATCTGTAAGAGCAGATTTCCCCTTCGCAACAGCCGCCTTTCTGGTCGACGGACTAGCATATGCCTAAGTAAAAAGCTTACCAAAGTCAAACTCGATTATAAATGCATAAATGCAATTAAAAGCAAATGGAAATCGAACGAAACTCGCAAAAGCTTTGAGCGAAAAACCCCTCGAGGTGGTAGAGCAAAAAAGATTACACTTTAAGCAAAATGTAGGAAGTTCGGGAAGTGTGTTGTGTTCACTTTAAAAGGATTTATTTAGGGTATTATCTAAAAAAGATTTTTTTTCATTAAATAATTATGTTAAATTAATGTATTATCTTGACATACTTTAATATATAAGAAATAATTTTCCTCAGTGTACGAAAGCAAATCTTATAAAAGATATAAAGACACAGACGTGCATCAGGGGGACCAAGGGGTAAAAAGGGGTGAGGCAGGGAGTGGGCGGTGGGAGATGGGACACCCAAAAGGCGCGACAAGTGTCGGCTGAGCTTTGTTTGGCGCAAAGAGAGCAGCGAAATGCGAAGAGCAAAAAACGCGAAGCCAAAATCCAAAGACGACCATAGTGAATTGCTACGTTTATGCATTATAAATCATGAACTATTTGGTGGACAAAATAAGTCACAAAATGGTAAGTAGGTACACTATTTTAAAAATATAGATTGAATTTAAATAAGTTTGTTTAATTTTGTCTATAGGTATTTTTGTGGCGCTTGTTACATTTTTATTAAAATTTTATAATTATGTATTATTTTTATTACTGATTTATTTAATTTTCAAATTTAAGAACAATTTGTAAACTTAATTTATCGTGAATTTATTTTGCAAACGGGACCACGCATAAACCTTGTAACAGTAAAAGAAGCCCTGACCATGCAGTTGCGTCAATGGGTGCGAAGGAGAAGGAGTGAGTGTGGGAGCGGAAGGGGAATACTAGAAAGAGTGAGAGAGAGAGTGGGATCGCGAGAGGCACTGGTTGAGTTGGTTTTGCTGACTGCACTTGTTTTGCCATCATTGTTATTGTTGCTTGCAACGTTTTGCTGCCACTTGGCCGCAAAAGCAACAAAAACAAACCCACACTAATACACGTGCGCGGTATTGCCTGAATGTGTTTGTGAGTAAGCTAACATATTGTAAGCATTATTTCATATTTCTCAATGGAAAAAACAACTCCAAAAACCGTTAAAATAACTCTTAAGGCTAACTTACCATTTTTGATAGAAAAATATTTGAAAAATATAGAAATTGGTATGCAAAATAATGCAACATATGCTAGCACACACACACAAGCACACTCTGAAATAATCAACTTACTTTGCAAGTATTTTGCCTTTGATTTGGATTTTGCTTTTGTTTTCTATTTATTTATTTGTTGCTTTTCGGTTTTAATTTTTTTGCTGCACTCAACCACACAAACACACACGTACGCGAAAAACACGAAAAGCAGCCAACATTTAATTTTTTTTGTTTTGATTTTCACTGCTTTGCATTTGTTGTATTTTTTCTTCAAAATGCGTAACAAGTATTTTACGAGTGTTTAACAAATAACGAATAAACGAACGTAACGAAATAACGGTAAACGCTCACGTTGCAATTACGACAATTTTTGCAGACGCAAAAAATCTGCGACGAAATAGTGAAACTGTGGGGGGAAAAAACTAACAATTGTACCTGCCGAATTTGTTTTTAAATGCTCGCCAGCTTTTCTGATTTTCCGATGCGAACGCGCGCGCTGCGAAAAACCTATTCAAAGCGAGTCGGAGGAGCCCCTCTATATAGATTCTCTCTGGCGGTTTGGAGGCATTTCGCATTGAGTGAGTGCAAAAACGGCTGATTCGGTCGGCTTTCTCTCTCTCTCACGCCCCCAGAAAAGCTTCGCGCCCCCAATGCTCTTGAGCGCTCTTCTTCGGTGCTCTTTATTGCCCCCCAGCCGCTAACGCTAATTACATCGGTGATTTTAACGTTAAGCTCAGAAAAAAGATTTTTTCAAACTCACTAAAAAAGCATATTTAAAAAACAAAGACGTTCCTGTTTAGGAATCACAAAACTTTGAACTTTAAATAAGTATTATAATGTTAAATTTAAAAATAATTATAATTTTGTGTTCACTAGCCAACTTTTTTTAATGTGTAATATAGCAAATACAAATTTTTCGAGTGCAACCTCTTTTTCTCTTTCAACCAGTTCGGCTCTTCATTTTCAATTCTGCGTGGGCGTCCTGAGTCTTTGCCACCCACTGAAAGTCCTGGAATTGGTTCGTGTCCATACTGAGTTTGTTATTCAACAAAAGTATCAAAAATGAAAGGAAGATCATTTAATTTACCAAATGCAGCTGTAAAATAAAAATATTCGTTTTTATTATTCTGATAACTAGGTACTATTAAATTATCAAATTATAAGTTAATCGCATTAATATAGCCTCATTCATACTTTTTACTTCCAATAACCAACCCAGTAGTTAACCGGAACTTTTAACTGAAGCTTCAAAATAACTTAAGATTGAAATATTATATAATCGCAGCAATCCCAATTTAAAAGTCGGAAACAATCCCTGGTTAAATAGTAGGGACATTAAAAAAAAACTAACTTAGTAACGACGTCGACTGCGCCGCTTTTGTCTCTGCCGCTGCATCTGCTTGGAAAATCGCACGCGTGGGCGAGCGGTAAAAACCGCAATGAGAGAGTGAGTGAGCGAGCTTGTGGAAGTGAGTGGGTGGCATGACCGAATTCAAATTGAGCGCTTTTCCGGTCCTGCAACCTGTATGAAGACGACGGCTCAAAGCACTCAAACGAAAGCTTTTCACGGGAGAGATTTGTTGATTTTGCCTAGCCGGCCAGTTATCCAAACAGCTGTTCACAACAAAAGAAACAGAAACAAATAAAAATTAATTATTTAATAAGCATTAAGTAGATTTAAACTTTTTGTAAAAAACATAACTACCATACTTTTATACTTTTTACTTTTATTAAAGACTTCTTGAACACTACATTTCCTTTTACTTCTCATCTGAGTGAGGAGGAATTCTAACATGAGGAGGAATTATTACATATAATAATTCAGCCTCTTGGCTAACTTTTTGACATCATATGTATTCTACAAAATTTTAAAAATAATAGTAAAATTTTATACAATTTTTTATTACCTTTCTCTGCAAAGACCATAAGATCAATTTCTCCGAATGTTTGAAAAAAAAAAACTAGAGTACATTGGGGTGGTCCAATAAATATAAATATCTTCTTTTAAGTATAGTACATTTAGTGCAGGTACTACAAATGTATTTCAAACCTTAAAAATGCTCTTTTAAAACGGTCTTAAAATTTTCATAAAAAATTACTCATACGACACATAAGCCAGTTCGAGTATAGCTCAAAAACTTTGTAACTTTTTGATTAATAAATTAAATTGTTGTTATTGTTAATTGTTGTATAAACAACACAAATAAAATCTACGCCACGTAAAATAAAATAAAGTTTTAATCACAGACAACAGTACGTATGAGTGATAATCTTTGAAGCCATTGCGCTGACCCTAGGAAGCATTTTTGTTTAAAAATTTGAGAGTAGGACCGCCCTATTGTTCATATATATATGAATAATTTATTTCAGTGGTAACATAGATGTGGTGTACTATGTACAATGTACATATGTACTAAGTGACGCTTAGAAATTCGGCGAATATATTTAATATCGGCTCTTAGAAATTCGGGGAATATATTTAATACCGGCTCTTAGAAATTCGGCGAATATATTTAAAATCAGTTCATCGGCAACATTCGCCGTCCGCAGTTCAGCGTTTTTGAAATGTACAATTTCGGAATTTTTATTTTCTTCGCCTTTCCCGCCTGCAATCTTTACGGTATGGCTGGATCTCAGGATTATAGGCAGCTGGATGGACAGGACATTAATGAGCTCCGCAAGCAGTTGAATATTCAAGATAGCCATTTAAACGGAAAACTTGCGTTCTTGGAGACAACTCAAACACACATTCTGGAGAAGCTGAATAAAATTGGACGAGGGTCAAATGTGCAAACAGCTGATGAGGACAAACTATGTGTTGTCACCGATGCCCCTAATCAATGTGGGGCATTCTGCCTGGCCGCTCAAAGGCCATTTATCGATCAAAATCACTATTTTCACAAGCAGTTAAATACGCTTGCTGAAATTTTAAAAGAAACTCAGACAAATATAAACACCTTTCAAAAAGAAAACCTAGAAAGGCTGGAAAGAATAGAAAATAAAAACTTTGAAACTCTGAAAAATATGGAACGAGTTCGAAAAGAAACTCTGGCATTATTGCAGTCTAAAACTGTAATTGAGAGAATAGGTAAAAGATACTTTTCCATTTATCACGATGTCAAAATATCTTGGACTGATGCCGAAGTCTTCTGTCGGGAACAAGGAGCTTATTTGGCTGTCATCGAGAATCAAGATGAGCTCGCCGCCATTCAACTTAAATTGAGGAATGATTCACAATACTGGATGAGTTTCCTCCTAAGGTTAGAGCCGATAACAATTGAGGACGAACATTTCTGCCAGTGCAATAAAGAGCGCGCTAATGGGGGTAACTCCCCCTACTCTTTATGTAATTGCGATTCTTCTTTCGCTCCCATTTGTCAATTACATCCAGCTTCTGACAAATATAGCGCTATTATAGGTAAGCCAGTTCGAGTATAGCTCAACTTTGCAACTTTGCAACTTTTTGATTAATAAATTAAATTGTTAAATTGTTGTTATTGTTAATTGTTGTATAAACAACACAAATAAAATCTACGCCACGTAAAATAAAATGAAGTTTTAATCACAGACAACAGTACGTATGAGTGATAATCTTTAAGCCATTGCGCTGACCCTAGGAAGCATTTTTGTTTAACGCTATGATTACAATAAACAAAAAAATGCCGCACAAAAGTCCCAGCAACAATAACCGATCCCTGCCAGTGCCAAGTTTTAAACTTTCGGCTACAGTGTTCTATAAAAAACTAAAATAAATTCACAACTAGCTTTAAAATACTACTTAAAAATCTTCATTATAATTATTTTTCTCTTTTAAATAAAATGTCTTCAACATTTTTTTCTTAAAAGGCGTGCAAAACTTGTTCCATTAATACCATTATTTATAAGAACTTTTGCATCTAACCAAACCTATGCGGTTAATATCCATGCTAAAAATGTAAAGTTCAGCTGGGAAGTTTGCGATAGGAGTGTAAACTAAGAATTTTTCCATTCTGAACATTCTATTACTTTTAACGGGAATGTCTGGCTTATCAAATCAAACCGTGACCTTCCAATTATCCGTAAGTTGTACTAAATGTATGATTATATTTTTAAGATAACATATATGAGATTTACAAACAGGCGGCATTTCAAAATTAGAAGAGTAACAGATACAAGTACACTATTTTACATGAGCTTCTAAAAAGCTTGAAGTCAACCCAATGCGGTTTATGTCCAGGCTAAAATAAAAAGGTCGCGAAGGTTTAAGAGTCCCAAGTTCAGTTCCGAAGTTTTTTCTGAAAAAAATGCATAATAATGATTTATTCATTAAAATTATTTTCCAAAATTTAGTAGAGCTTCATTCATAAGTTAAATAATACTTTCTCACAAATCATTAAAAATACGAAGATTTGGATAATTTAAGACCGTAATTTAAAGGGTTTGCAAATATTTTTATTTTTATATTAATCATTTCTTTTAAAGAGTGATTGCGTTACATTTCATTGCTGTATTTTTTTTTTTCGGTATCATGCCCCAACCTTGCAGAACTTTTTGGATGTTTTGCGCAGTTTTAGCCACCACTCGAAGTCGTTCTTGATATATTTCGCTTTGACAGCGCGTTCACGTTGCTGGACAAATTTGTCGCGATCGCGCAGCCAAATCCGGGCGTATTCCCAGCCCATTAGGCAAGCCATCGATACAGGAGTGTACTGTAAAATAAATACAAAAATTAGGTATATGAAAGACATTGGGTCCTAAGGTCATAAAAGGTAAATTTATTGCCTACTTAAATGGGCCCTCGCAAGAAAATTGTATCCTTATTTTGTAGTGTCTAAGACTTTAATAATTAATTACTAGAAATAAAATCTTTCTTTTAAAGTGAAAAAAATTTAGCTTGTTCCTTAATATTGCACTGCATTTGAAATTTTTCTGTATAATTACCTCTAGTTCGCAGGATGGCACAAAGCGTTCTCGTTTTCCCGCCTCGGTGGTAAGATTATCCTTAGGCTTACAAAGCCGAGCTCGAGACCATTCTTTGGTCTGTTTGTTCATTTCACAATATCTGTTTGTACTTAGAATTTACTTGGTTTATTTTTCAGATACTTAAGATTTTGAAAACACATATCCGAATGTGATAATATTTTCGGATCTGACGATGAAATCTATTTGAAGGAAAATGCTTATCAGGTATTACAAAGTGTTGGATTTTTCAATTTTTAAAGTTTTAGTTTTAAAAACACAAAAACTCAACATTCTGTGTTTTTAAATATATACATAGATGGTCAAAGAATGTAAGGGACAAAAGTTGTCGAAAAAAAAACAATAAAATAATATTAGAATGGAAACCGCCCCAGAACAAACTTGGTGAAATACCCCAAACCAAAACCATTCGAAGGACAAACACTGAAATGTTTCGAAGGCGTTTCCTTCAGCCAACAAAGCCAACAACAACAACATGTCCAGGACGATGGAAAAGCAGGAGAAGCGTAAATAAGAAGCAGAAATTGAACCTGGAACTGAAAGACAAAAGGCAAAGAAGTATAACAAACTTTAAGTCAATACACCTACACAAAATACAACAAAACAGGGCGAAAAAAATAAAACAAAATTAAATAGGAGAAGAAAAACTCGCCACTTTTCCCCCATCAGCCGAATAATAAAAGAAGCAGCACAAGAAAAACAAAACACGGCGACAGGCCAACAATTTGAGGTGGGCGTTTTTGGAAAGTGGGCGGGGCAGTCGATGGTTTGGGGTGACTCAGGTTCTAAGTAAGGGAAAAGCTCTCAAAACACTCAAAAAAAAGTAGCATTGAAAATGACTATACCATGTGAAAAAACGCAATTACAATCATTTTTGTGTAAAAAGTGTATTTATTTTGCCATATTTGATTTAATAATAATATTTTATTTTAGCTTAAAACTACCTTTTTTTTAAGTATAAAAACATTTATGTAATACCTCCATTTTCTTCAGTGTAAATGGTACGACCAAACGTAAATCAAACAAAAATAAAACAAAGCAAAACAAATAAAATAAACAAAACTACGCAAAAGTAGCAGACGACGAATACGAATATACGATGACGATGAGGCAAACAAGGAGCTAAACCAAACAAGTGGAGCCAAATAATTAATGGATGTTGTAAATCGTCGAATACCCTTTACAATTAGAATAATATTAAATAAACTATTGTGCAATTAAAAAAAAAAATTTCAAAGTTTATTATCAGCTTGAAGCTTTATAAAATAAAGGGAATCTATAATATTAAAGTAAGTCCTAATTTATTTTACAAATTACTAAATGCTTGAAATATCACTAAGACTCCTTTAAAAATGAGAAAATAAATCAGAAAGAACTCTAAAGGTGAATAAATATTTTAGGTAATTTAAAAACTGGCAGACCTTAAATCGTTATCAAAAAAAATTCTTCTTTGTGGGATTAAAAGTAATATTAAAACTATATAGTTTTTTAATTATTAAAATTTAATTATCTCAAAGGATACTAACCCACAAAGCGAAAGAGAAAGTGGAAGCAGAAAAACGAGAACAAGTAAGGGCATAGTAAACGAAGGAAGCCGAGAGAACCCTACAAAAAAAAAATAAACAAAAACAAAGACAAATACAAAACATCATGATGATGATGATGTTAATTTCCATGATGATAATGATGAGAAACAAACGAAGCATTTTCCGTTTTCTAAAACAAACATTTGCAAATGTTCTCAACAAACTTTTTATTTGGCCAAAAGAATGAGGGAAACAGAAGCCAGACAGCTGTGGGTGGTTGGGGTGGTAATGGGAGGGAAGGTGGGGGTGATGGTTGGTGGGTGGTTCACCGAAGTGGGGGGAAGTTTCGAGCAAACAAACACACAATTACAGTTACAGTTGTGTTTGTCTCTCCGTTGCTGTGCGCACTGCAAACAAAACTTCCTATTTTAACCCACCGCCCCCTTCTCCTCTTCTTGGTCCGCCCAGCCAAACACCCCACCCCCTGGGGGGCTGTTGCTGTCTCACTCGCACTCAACTGTCGACCGCTCACGTGCAATTGTATGCGTAAATAAGCATTTTACTATACAACACAAACTGTTTCTTGTCCTTGTCGTTGCTGTTGTTGTTTTGTTGCCCATTAGCTTGGGATAATCTCTGGGCATGATTGGCTTTAAAAATACCTTTTGATGAAATAATATTTTTGCCCTAATTATTATTATATTATGGCCATGCAACTTCAAAAATCTTGAACAATTATTTTCTTCTCCGTTCTAATTATTTAAAAAAAAATATAAATAAGATTGAAAATTTAAAAAGTACCTATACATAAGTCCTTCCGGTTTAATATTAGTTAGAATTCTAAGAAGATACTTCTTGATACTTGAAAAGATACTTCATGATTAATTAAGTTTATCCGTAGGGGAGTGTAGGGTAATTTGACGAGTAGGGTAATGTGACGAACTCGTCGAATCTCATATATGACGTCACGACAAAAATTCCAAATAAATGTAGTCGTCTCCCCTTATCGTGTCGACAATGTATTTACAGTAATATTAATAAGAAGTCCCGTAATTTGTTCGTGAGGTAATTTTCGCTAAAAATGTAGTGCGCAAACTAGCATACCTATTCAATTTACTTGTGTTTCAGCAGTGCCAGAGCAAAGATGAGTGGAAAATTAAATCAGGCAAATATATGCACGTATACATGAGATCTTTATCAACAGTTTTTGGTACTTCGCGTTTTTTTCTTTTGAGCCGTTTGAGAGTGACACCGTTTTTGCTCCAAGTCTACCTTGTAGGGTATCGTGACGAACTTTTTGTAGGGTATTGTGACGAACTTTTTTTATTCAAGAATTTTAACTGTTATCGTTGATTATTTGTAAAAAAAATATAATAATACCAGATAACACTTACTGCTGCAGTTTTATTGTTGTTTTTAATAGTGACGTCAATTTAATTTAATTTAAAAAAAAATTTGCACTTTGACCATTTTTTTTTTTAAGTTTGGGTATTATCTTATTACTTTTTTCTTTTCCGTATCGAAAATAACCTTTCCGTAAATAATATATAAAAAAATGTATTTTTTTGTTTGTAAAAAGGATGGTTTACACCAAACGCTGTGGGATTTGGCTACGTTGAAATTTCGAATCCAAATTTTTTTAGAAATATGCTCAGTAAATGTAAGCAACTTTCTGCTTTTACACTTTTAAAAAATATTGATTTTTGGAGAAGTTACATTAAAGAACAAATCGTTCGTCACATTACCCTACAACTTTTGAAAGTGCAAAAAAAGTAGGGTTCACGACAAACGCTGTGGGATTTAGCTGCATTGGAATTTCGAATTTTACAGGGATATGCTCAGTAGATGTAAGCAACTTTCTGCGTTTACACTTTTGAAAAATATTGATTTTTACAAAAGTTACATTCAAAAAACGAATCGTTCGTCACCTTACCCTACACTCCCCTATTATAAATGTTCGAGCTAGAATGGTTTTAGGTCTGGTTTCGGGTTTTTCTTTTAATTTTCATGAAAATATTTACATGTTCTACGAGCCTTTTAAAAATAAATCAATCTTTTTAACACATAAGTAAAAATTTAAAATGACTTACGAACCAATTGAAAATCAAATTGATTGATAACTTTTTTGTGAAAAATTTGATATAACTTATATTTCACTAATATATTTTTATTTTCTTTTAATTTTCTTGGTAAGACTAGATCAATTCGATAGCGAGGTATTGGAAATTCGAAAAATACGATTATATCGTTTCTTACTTGGTTTTAGTGCTATTTGTTTATTTCAGGGGGTGGCAATGGGAGAGGGGTTGGTGGACGACTACGGTATTTGATTGTCAAATTCACCCCCTCAATCCGCTGCCCACTCTTCTTCTTCTTCTTCACGTTGTTGAGCTTCTTTGTTGTTGTTTCAGTGCTCATTAGTCGCATTCGCATTGGCTCCTTGTTGTGTTTGTGTGTTTGCCCCTCTGTCTATGTGTTTGCATTTGTTTGTTTTAAAATTTTATTGTATTTCATTCAGTTGTTGCCTCGTTTTTGTTTTATTCCCTCGTTGTCGTTGGCCCTGCTGACTTCGTTTGCTTTTAACCCCACATCGCCCCCAAGGATTATTTGCCCACCTCCTCTTTTTTGTTTTTCCTAGCGCAACTTGCTTTTCCACTGGAGTCTCGTAAGCATTTGCACTCCTCATTTATCGGTGTCTACATAACGATAACGAAAAGTATACAATTATTTTAATTGTAAAATAAAAACGAATTGTTTTAATTCCTTGGAAACCTTTCCAATTTAAAAGTAATAATTGCAATTGCTTTATTTATTTATTTATTAAAATTTATTTTTTAAATTTTTAATTTTAATTCGTTGACATTTTATGGAACTATATGGGTTTTATATGTTTCAAAATTTTCGGATTCCATATAAAACGTTTCAAAATAAAACTATTAAAATTTAGTACCAGTAAATAACTTTCCAAACTAAAAGTTATTAAATTTATTAAGTAATTAAATGTATTCCATTTGTGACAAACAGAAATTCCTGCTTATAAACCAAACCATTTGTTTAATGGAATTCCCCAATTACTAAGTAGAGAACAGTACTTTTCTTGGAAGACTTACTTTCATATATCGCCAGGTTTAGCGTTGTTTTCCTCCCTTTTCAATTACATTTCAAGGCATTTTAGCGCGTCGACAGCCATGAAAAAGTGCACTGAAATATTCGACATATTCCAGATGAGCAACAACTATGACAACTATGCAACAACCACCAAAATAAAAAAATTAAAAAATAAAACAACGACCGAAGCCAAGAACTAAGGCTACAACATAAGCAGACAGATACATTTCTACACCCAACCACCCACAAAAAACTCACGTGTTGCCAACGTTGGTTGGTCAACACCAACAAAAAAATGCTTAATTAATTAATTTTTTTGCATTCGTTTGTTGTTTAATTTCTGCTTTACTTTTTCGGTATTTCCCTTCTTTTTTTTAATATATCTTTTCATTTTGGTTTTGCTTTTTGGCATAGCTGCGTTGGCATTTTTTGTTGCCCCTGCGGGAGTGTTTATATGTCATTGTTATTGTTAACAGCTGTACTTTTGAAAATTTACAGCAGTAAAAGCGCAGAAAAAAAAGAAACAACTTGCAC